TTCCTCCAGCACAATGAGTAACCCTCCCAAATACCAAGCCCTCCCTCCCTGTTTCATGGCAGCCGAAGCAACAGCAAAGCAGAGGCTGACAGCAATATACTGATGAAAGTTTTCAAATATCCAGGCAGAGATGTCTGAAGGTTGTCTGAATTGTTTTGAAGGTTAGTCCGATTAGTCCAGTTGCAATGATTCAACTTTCAGTCAACTTCAGACAGCCTTCAGTTATGATTGCAATATAGTGAATTCCTTAAAAGATTAATATATAAAGTAGCTATTTTTCCCAGTTACTTTAAGCCACCTATTTATCAGGTGAACGCTGAAGCTTAAAATATTCAGTGCTACAATAATTTCAGAACCAAATACTATCTTGTCCCAAAGATGCTTTTCTCAAGAGGCAGCTGAACTTTCTGGTTTTTCTTTGAAGATGTTTCACTTCTCATCCAAGAAGCTGAAGAATCCAAGAAGCTGAAGAAGGTGAAGAAGCTTCTTAGATGAGAAGTGAAACGTCTACAATGAAAAACCAGAAAGTTCAGCTGCCTCTTGAAAAAAGCACCTTTGGAACAACCATGACTTGGATGACCGAGAATCTCCATAGACAAACACTATCTTCTTTTTGCAAGTGTCTTTGTAATGCAGCTGATAGTGACTCCTTGTAATAAAGGGAATTCATTTTTGGCCCCAAAGACTTGCATTTATTTTAAAACAAGCTGTCATTTTCTAAGAGACGGTCAGATTCATGTTGCAAAAATTAATTGGTCAAATAAAAAAGGGTAAAAAATATCCAAGTAGACTAAAGCAGGGGTCTCCAACTTTGGCAACTTTAAGACTTGTGGATTTCAACTCCCCGAATTCCTCAGCCAGCAAAGCTTTGGGAGTTGAAGTACACAAGTCTTAAAGTTGCCAAGGTTGGAGACCCCTCAACTAAAGGGTTGCAGAATTTTCTGGAAAGCTTTACAGCTTTAGGGAAGGCAGAGGAGAGTATACTGAAACTGGGGAAGAAAGAGGGGAAAAAAAGGCCGAATGAGCAGACTGCACAATTTTTACTAGCTGATCAGTTTGGGCTGAACATGGGAGAAGGCTGCTTGAATTTCCAGTGTGGCACCACTGCCATCTTGTGATAAGTGTATAAAGTACTCCAAAAATATATATCTGTACTTTTGAAAGTGAAGCTGCAACAGCTGTGCAGGCTTCGAATGACAGAGGCAAGCTTTTGAAGTATATAAAGGTTGCATTTCACATGCAAAAAATAAATAATAATGGACAATCATAGGGAGAAGCAGGGGAAGTAATAGATTTGATCCCCATAGACATTAATCTTTGTACAAATGATGCCAACACAATGAAGTGCATGCATGAAGTCATTGTGGTGTCAATATATAATTTATTATAATTTTATGGTTGGCACCCTCTTTTCCAAGATCATATTGCACAGTACAATTGACTTTTCGTTAAAGCTGAAGTATTAGAAACTATTTTAACAACACAGTATTTAAACAACAGTGAAATCAATCTGATTATGCACTATTAGGCTTTGTTAAAAGTAGAAAATAAGTATTAAGGACAAACAGCTCAGGACCCATCACTCTGATCAACAACAAATTTGTACCTTGAAAAGCAGGAACCTTTTAGAATTTCCCCAATGCCTAAGATTCAGCAGAAATACAAATGTACGTGGGCAGCTTATGTAGTTTTGGTGCAGTGCTCATAAATGATTTAGAACATGTGAATTAAAGCTTCTGTTGCTCTGAGACTGCATAAAGAACCAACAGTCACTTGGAAAACTGTACCAAGAGCAAGGAAACGATTTACCCTCTTATACATCAACTGCTGGATTGCTTGAATAGTACACTATATTGCCAAAAATATTCGCTCACGACGATTCTGATTATGTGGATGGGTGAGCGAATACTTTTGGCAATATAGTGGTATCTGTGGGTTTATCTATGTCTATTAGTATAGTAAGGGATGTGGTGGCTCAGTGGCTAAGATGCTGAGGTTGTCGATCAGAATGGTCAGCAGTTCAAATCCCTAGTGCCGCATAACAGAGTGAGCTCCTGTTACTTGTCCCAACTTCTGCCAACCTAGTAGTTCAAAAGCATGTAAAAAAAAATGCAAGTAGAAAAATAGGGACCACTTTGGTGGGAAGGTAACAGTGTTCTGGGTGCCTTTGGCATTTAGTCATGCTGGCCACATGACCAAGGAGACATCTTTGGAAACACT